CTTAACGCCGGCCATTTCTGCCCTGGTCATAGCGGCATTGGGCGTTGTTGAAGGAGCTCATTTACACGTATCGCTGCTTGCACACAGTAAGGGACGCGTTGTTCTGCTGGCTAGGTGACTTGTGTGGCAGTTACAATGCAATTTTGTTGGGCTTAACTGTGTGAAAGTGATTGTTGGACTTGGTTTGAAGCACTGAACCTCCTCCCCCCACTCAGTTTTTATTTTTATTCTTCTGTCAAGAGAAAATACCAACCCTTTTATTCTGAGCCTCCTCAGAGATGTCTGCTGTTAAGAGCTGAAAATTGATTAAGTACAAGGAAAAACAGTAAAAATGGTAAAATGTAATACCTCAGAACTGAGACAGACCTCCCTTCTCTCTCCAGCGTTTTACTTGTTTCAAGTCTATTCAGCTTCCTCTCATTCCTCAGCTTACCATAGCTCCCTTGCTTTTTCCTAGTGTCTTCCTTCTTCCAAATTGCCCTCTGTGTTTTGGAGTCTGGAATTAGAAACTCTGTGACATTTCAGTTATCTCAGTGCAGAACAATTCTGCATATGCTTAGACTGCATTTGTATCATTCATATAATTTGGGCAGTAACAACGATGTCTGTGGTTTATAGTGTAAAATTCCTGTCTGGATTTGAAGATGGATTCATGAGAATTTTTAAATCTACTGACAAAGAAGAACTCCCATCCAATTTGCCTGAATGTGGAATGTGTCTTGGGACTGGACTTCGAAAGATGTGCCCAAAAGGCACATTTTGGCCTTTGCATAAATAAAAACTAAAGAAATAGAAATGGACTTCACTAACTAATAAGACAAACATAACTCCAAAATCATCAGTGTATAGTAAATTGTATTGTGTTCTAAAGTCTGTTTTCTGATAATCCATATTATCATGTTGCATGTTCATTGCTAACTATTTTTTTGCTCTTTATTCACAGACTCCAGAGCCAGCTGAAAACTACGTCAGTGAAGGAGAGTTTGAGGATGATCTGACCTCTTCCACCCCTAGCACAACAGAGCTGGAGATACGTGGATCGAGCCAAGAAACAGATGAAGATTATTTTGAGACCCTATCACATCAGAGTGAATCTTTGTCAGATGCAAAAACTGAGGCTTACGAGAGTGCATCAGAAACAGAATCTGTTGCCAGTGATTTAACTGGAGAAACTTGCTTGGATTCAAACTGCCTTTCTGCTGAAAAACAAGATCTCTGCTGTAGTCTTTCTAAAGCTAAGGTTGACACAACTTATGAACTTAAATGCTCAAGACAACCAGAATTTAGGCAGCAGGGGCAGCTAGAAGCATCTTCCAAGATAAAAGTAACACCAAGGAACAATGAATTTGATGTACAAACGTCAAAGTCAGAAGGTGAAGAGGAGGGAGATGAAGAGCAAACATTAACTAGTGTTATTTCCAACACAGAGGACCAAGTGAGTCAACAGGGCATTGTATCAAAGACAGACAGAGAGGTGGTAGCAGAAGGATTGCAAGCTAAAGCAGAGTTTGAAAGCAGTGAAGTGCAATCCTGTATCAACCCAGTACTTACTGAAGTTGCTGTTGCAAGACAGAAGAAACAGTCTGCAGTATTAAGTATTGCTTGTTTCAAAGCAAACTCAGAAAGTTGTTTGATTTTTCCTGAGGTACAGAAACTTTCTTTCCAGTCAGATGCAGCACCAAGCTGTAGTTTGCCTAATATTCATTTTGAAACAAATGGAACTTACCATGGAGATTACTCTGGGGCTTCTGACTATAAATATGAGCTAGATCCTTTGTCCAGTATAAAATGCCATAGGGAGAACTCAGTTAACAGTGATGAAATTACAGGTAAAAGGATAAAACAAGGAAGTGCAGAGGCCACGTTGACATCAGATTCATTCTTTTACCAGAGCCACCTCAAATCAAAATCTCAGCCACCACTCATGAGGCCAGAGATCGCAGAAAGGAAGACATGGCATAGTGTACCTGAAAATATAAGTGCTCCAGAGAAGAGAGAGTATGTGGGGGATTATTATCATCTGACAGACAAATTTACGTGGTCATGTTCCAGAATACATCTTCAAGGATTGGATTTTAAAAACACAGGAAGAATAGCAGTCAGCCCTGAAAAAGCCATAAAAGTAGATGGCAAATCTGGCATAAAAAGTTCCCTTCTTAATACCAGCAAATATTTAAATGGGGATCAGCTTTCTCAACCAGCAGGTTCACACCAATATGTGGATTTTAATTTGCACTCTAAATCAGAGACATGTGGCCTTAGCCCAGAAGCAGCAGGTACATGCACCGAGAGCTTATCTTCAGCACAGACAGATGCTTACGTGTGTAATCCAAAACAAAAAGAGACTTTCTCTGCCCTGGCCTGTGAGCCAGTGATCATAAATGCCGAAGGACTGGTGAAAAATGATCAGCACAAATGTGAGAAGGATCTGGAAGCACACAGATTCCCTTGTGACGTTAATGTTGAATCTGGCATGGGTGACATCGAGAACCCCGTGTCCTGTCTTGTGGGTTTTCCTGATGTTGCAGAAAACAGAGATTGGGATTATTCTGTGAACTATGTTTCCCCTGGTAGAACACTGCAGAACACATTGGAGGACAGTGGCCTTGATTCTGAATTGTCAAGTATGGAAGTCATGGTAGAGAAAAGAGGGTTAGAGGATTCTTCTAACATTGGCTTTGGTTGGGAGATCCTGGAAACTACCTTGCAATCAGGTGGCAGTGACACTAGGGCAAAGCACAAAGATTCAATGCAACAAAATACAAGTTGTAAAACTGATGCCTTTAAGAGTTGCTCTGAGCAAGTAGCAAATGAACATCCAACTTTTCAAAGAAAGGAGGAGGACAGTGTCTTTGCTCTTGAAATGACTCCCAGTTCAGATTGTGTAAGTCACAGAAGTCATTCAATGAATTTTCCAGAGGTAAAGCCTGCCTTGATTATAATATCTGTAGAGCAGAAAGGATTACAGTCCAAGACACTGAATGATGACCTTTCTACTGAAACAGTAACCGGAACACGGAGAGACCTAGTGAGTGATGATTTGGTGTCTCCTTATATTGTTAGCAAATCTCAAGATGATCCAGAAAGAGTTCTGAGTAAATGCTATAGCTGCGAAGAGCAAATTCTATCCATCCACCCCTTTCCTAATAGCGCAGAGGTACTCTCTGCTTGGGATACAGCTGAAGAAAAATCCGAAGTTTCACAACAGAAATTGAAGAAAACAGATTTGGTTTCATCCTTAGGTTTCAGCCACAGTAATTGTACAGTACCAAGTGGAAAGGTGGAATTTAGAAATTTTACTTTACCCTTGGACAATGATATACTTGTTGCAGAAGGCAGGGCAGATAAATTCAATGAAGCACTCTTGAAATCACATAGGAGAACTGCTGTAAGGACCTCTGAGGTCGACTCCCACAGAACAAGGATGCATTCTGATTTAGAGTTGAAAAAGTCAGGGGCTGAAACAAGAGATGACCAGGTGGCCAAGGAAGAGGAATTTGAAGTACATCAAGGTAGAGAGGAAGACAAATGTATAACCACTACGGTAACACTGGAAAAAAACAGTGTAAGCAGTCTGTGTGAGGGAGATGGTGCTGCTGATGACCTTCAAGAGCCCAACATCACCTGCGAACAAGCAACAGGCAAGGAAACAACCAAAGGCTGTTATGGTTCAAAGGAACAAGTAAATATTTGTGAAGATCCTTCTATTAGAGAAATAAAAGCAGGGTGGGCTATGAAAGACACAGCCAGCAAAGACAGTGCACTGAGTCTGGATGTGTCCGATGTCTTTAACTATTCTGAGAAAAGACAGACCCATAATGCCTGCAGACTAGGCCTGGATAATATAAGCATGTGCAGCACTAACAGTGAGGAGATGGATGAGAGCTCCTGCCACATCCTGGGAAGTAACAACAGTCTCCATAAAGCTGTGCAGAAACCAGCAAAGAATGGGAATACCGGGAGATCACCCAGGTTTTTGGTTTTCTCAAAAATGACATCTTTTAGGAAAACAAAGCCTGCCATGGCAGAAAATCAAGGAAGCAGCAGCTTCTTTGGTATCAAGGCAAAAATGGAAGAACTGGATACTGGGAAAGAGGATGAAGATACTGAGAGTTTACAGTCTTTTAAAAGTTATTCTTCTGGTTTTGGTTTTCACAGGAAGGAAAGCTATGGGTCTGAGTATTCTGATGATGATGATTTATTCTATGAGAGACCCGCCAGACTGTTCAACAGAATGAGCCTGAGGAAGGCTTCTGGCTCTGGTAGGATACTGATGGAAGACACCGATACAAACTCTACTGCTCCCACACTGACAGCTGACAAATACGGAGATGGACAAGTTTCCACTTCCTCTGTAAACAGTGACAGTGAACCTTTGGAATACATCCGAATTCGAAAATCCTTCCCTGAAAATGAATACAAAAGACACAAAACCCCTGAGGGCAAGAAGTTCAGGACAAGACTGGCCTTAGCACACAAATCCCTTTCAAGCTTATTTGAATCCAAATCTCCAGAAAAAGAAAATACTGAGCAAAGCTCTAGAGTATCACTGAAATATGAAAAGGACAAAGTCAAACTTCGCCAGAGTACCTGGAAAACTTTTCTAAAAAGCAGGGACACAGATGGAGTAAAGAGGCCAGTCTTGGCAAACCTATCACCCGCACAGGAGAGTCTTGACACAAACAGGGACCATGTGATGAGAACAACATCAGTCGAGAGACAGGATATTTCCAATGGACAAGCATTTTTGAAAAGAGGAAGAGCCAATGGCTCTGTGAGAGATGCCTGCTATTCTGACCCCTCTGTAGAGCATGTTGGTGTCTCTTCATCTCCAGATATATGGAGGAAGCGAATACAGTCCCATGACTTGGGCACGAAATGCTCACAGAGTTCAGACTGTGATGAACAACAGGAGGCCCTGGTCAACAATTTAAATGCTTCTCTGGAGGAATACTGGGTGAAATCTCCATTTAGTCCCAGTGACTTGCAGTTGTCAAGCCCATCATGTCCCCATCTCTCAACTTATGAAGGTAAAGATATGCCATGTCGGCCAATGAGTCCTAAACCACAGAGTCCACGGTCCACTTCTCAATGCAAGAGCTTTCCTTATCCTGGAAGAATATGTGCCACCTCCATGATCTCTCTTGGGAACACCACTGCAATGGACAGCAGTTTGGAAGCTCCCGAGAGGCCAAAGACACTGAAACCCAGAGGTAGTCTTTTACTTTCTGTACACTCGTTGGACAGTGAATACCAGAAGGATGACAGTGGGATAAGCAGTCAGTCCCAGATCAGCTTAAACACAGCCTCTTCCATTAGTGACATACTCAGAGATGAGGTGAGTGGTTGTCTGGGAATGATTGGCTGGTTTGGTTGGCAGAGTCTTTTCTCTTAACGTGATTAAGGGATTCCAGTGAAACTCTGTTACTAGATGAGTGAAGCCACTGGCTAGATCGGTGCATAAAGGTGCCTCTTTGTCTAGGACAAGGCACACTAGTCAATCCTTGAGTTCCTGTTCTCAGAGAACATGAATTGATGCTCATTTTAAGGGAGTATTTACCACAAAAATCCATACGGATGGAGTCACCACCATAGTACAAATGCATAATATGCCTCAGACAGACAGCACAGACAAACACAGCCGAGTGTTTAGCTAGATCTTACACATCTACAACAAGGCAGAATTGAGCCTCGTGACTGTATAGCAAATACAATTCTGAGAGTGAAAGGCACTATCATACCCATTGCTAGCAGCCACTTCTTAGAAGTAAAATCTTTTTTTAGACAGCAACAATCTGTCTAAAATTTGCAAACATTTTACAGTCATCATTGTTCTTCATTGATTGCCACTGGAGTCCTTTTCCACATTACTGTGAACAGAAGAAAAAAAAAAAGGATTTTTCTGCGTTTTCTTTTGCTGTTGTATTATCCTCTAATCTTGGTAAGCTATCAGTTAACTTGTAATAGAATGGTTTAACAGAGCATCTATTCAGTAAAGGCTTCGCAATTGATTCAGGCTATTAAAAACAGAGACTTCCTCTGTCGGGTGGCTCTTTATCCCAAGATGTTAGTGGCTGAGAGCTTAGGAACCTCTTTCTGTGGCCAAGCACAAGCCACCAGAGAGTGACTGGTCCTTCTCATGCTACTTTTTCAATGTTGTTGATGAGTTTTGACATTACAAAATGGGCAGACAAGTATCGTTGAGCCAATTTACAAAAGTGGCAATTGAGAGAGGATGAGAGATTTTTTGTCTGTAGCACCACTACAAGCAGACACTTCTCAGAGAGCTCATGAATCTAGAATTGATGAATTCTGCAGCTAAGGGCTGGCTGCAAATAGGAGGATCCAAAAGAGGATCTAGAAGAGGATAGAGTGAAGAGGCTTATGTCAAACCTTGGATAGGCAAATCCACATCCTCGAATGCAACCATTCGGAGCAAATAAATAATTATTTAAATTGATGGTTAGTTTAAGCAATTGAAGGAAAACAGTGAAAATCCAAGCTATAGAAAAATGGTTAAATTTTATTGATTCTCCTGTGGACTGCAGAATATAATACCTGAAAAATGCAGCTAGAACCTAGAAATTAATGTAACTGTCCTGGCTTTCAGGACACAATATCTGATCTATGAAAGAAGATAAGGCTTTTATTTATTCCCAATGTAGGATTATTTGACATTGTGAAATGAAATAGAACTGTACCCAATTCTTAGCCAGTGGCTTTTGATAAGTAAAACTGTTTTTATTGGGTACTACTGAAAATAACAGCAGAGGCATTGAACAAAGTATACTTGTAGTCTTAAGTCTTTCCAACACAGGTTTAACTATCATCTAACATTAAGGATGATCTTCCTTATGTATATTGCTAACCCAAAGGGTCATAACATTAAGTTTAACAGTGGATTAAAAGAAAAAACAAATGTATGTTCCACACTGGTAGAGGGCATGACTTGATGGAATGCTAGAAAAATGCATAACCGTGGAGTTGTTTGAGCTCAGATCCCTGCATGCCCTCCACTGAGGAGCTAAACATCTATTCCCCAAGCTACCAACCAGGTATTTTGCCTGTGTTCTCCATTTCTTTCATGCTGTAGTGGTGCACCAAACTCCAGTGGATCAGCTGCCATTCTGATTTCCCTGTTGCCACTCACTTCCTGAGTGACTTCAGATTTTTCTGAATTTAGTATAGCATCTTTGAGATTGCATAGTGGAGTAAGGGTCATTCACCCTTGCTCTTCAGTCCTACGCAAAGTTACAGTATTGAAATCTCCAAATTTCAACACCCGTACATCTGGTTGGTATGTACGCCTGCTAAACAGTCACCACTTCATGTGTAGTGTACAGGATTCACTGGGATTTCTCTAAGATGCAACATAATATCTCCTCTTGGAGGTCAGAAATCAGGGGATTTGCTTCACAGTATTCCTGATGAGTCTAGATGAGACCCAAGGTAGGTCTGTGCCCTGCCCTGTACACCAGGCCTAGAAATCCATCCTAGAGCCTTCACTCAACAGATTGCCTCTAAAGGATTAGAGCAGAGATGGGAAGGTGGTTAGTGTTGTGTCTGCGTTCTTCAGATGAACCGTGAGAGTCTGGAGCAGTGCTATTGTCAGGACAAAACATTTCTTGGCCCAGAATGACATTCCTGAGATCATTCATTCCTCGATACAGTTATCTTCCACCTTAAATTTTGCTGACCCTAACTGATGCTACCTGGATTAAAAAGTCGATTCCTCAGGGCATGCTTGATTTTATTTTTTTTCTGCTATAAAAGATATGGTTTTGTGCATTCTCAGTGAAAGAGAATGAGAGTTAAGTGCAAAGCACTGAGTTTAATATGTCAGGCCTACAGGCATCGAGGAAGCATTTTCCCTTTCTATAGATGGAGCACGGTGGGAAAAGCACAGATGAATGAGACTGGGCGTTATTCCATTTTCAGAGAGACCGTCTGTCTTTGTAAACAATTCTGTACAGGGAGAGTGACCTAAATCCTACATGTAGTGTTATTGTAATATGCCATGGAGATGGAGGGGGAAAAGGGCATGGTCTTGCGCAGCGGGAATGGTATGACACTGTCTGGAAGGACAGCAGAGCTGCCGCTTTGAGTGCCCCTAGGCCTCGGGAGGGTAAGACAGGCTGGCTTCAGCCTTCCAGTCCTCATGGGCTGCCTTTTCTTCTGCGACCAGACAGCTGAGCTATGCCATCCGCTTTTCCACCTGATCTAAAGCAAACAGAATTTCCAATCAACAAACCTTGTGTTTTTACCTGTTGCTTGTAAAACAGGAGTCTAAACATCAGTGTCAGACACCACCTGAGAAGAGGCCAAGTGAGAAATGGGTTCCCCATCACAAAAGGAGGCCCCCCCAGGTTCCACCATCCCCACGCCCTCTCTCGGCCCTGGAGAGCCAAGCCCGGAGGCTTTCCTTTCTTGCTCCAGATGAAAAAGCCAAGGAGATTCCAGAGAGGAGAAGGAAGACACCTAAACCCCTTTATAAGTGCTTCAGCTTCGATGATGTCTGGATGGAGAGGAGCCAAAAAGGGAAGCTAGAGAAGGAGACACAGCCAGAGAGAGGAAATGAATTGCAGCACCTCCCAGAGCACCAGTTAAAAGTAAGAAGCCACCATCCTCCTCGTTCTGTGGCACTGTCTTCCTCTCTCTGCTCCAGCTGCTCCTTTCTGCTTTTGTCATATTCCTCTTCTTGAACTGCCTCTTAGATCAGTTCTCTTTGCTTCTCTATGGGCCTGCTAATCTGTGGAGAATGATTCTGCAACGTCGAACTCACCCATACAGGTATTATCTTGAAAGATTGTTTTAATCCCTGCAAGCGAGCAGCTCCTGCCCGCTGCTGTGTTGAACAATAGCATGTGATTGCATCAGATTGTTCTGCAGGCTAAAGATAGGGAGAACAAGGAGCAAATCAAAGTTGTCTTGTATCAGTATAAATTAAATGGATGAAATCTCATTCAGTGCCCTGTAGCATTGCTGTATCACTTTGGAAAGTGACCTATAAATTAGATTTCCCTTGTATCTGAGGCCAGCTCCATTCTTCTGAGAAAAGACTTCTAGCAATTCCTCTGTGAATGCTCAAGAGAACATTGCCATTGGAGTTTTTACTATTAGTAATCTCCTCTGCACCGTGGGAGACTGTAAGATCAGGGTTGTGATTGCTTGTGACAAGCTTTGTGGCTGCTGTGATTCACACTGATGGCATCCATTACTGTTGGATCTAGAGCTAAAGTTTGTTCCCTTTGGGAAGAACCATGAATCTGCATCCAGGAGCCAAATTTAGCTCTTACATATAAAACAAGCTTCTGTGGAAAAAGGATATGAGATTGAGGCAAAAGTCTATGCAACTTTTGCTGGTGATATGAAATAAGTTTTTGAGCAAGTTTGAAATCAAGTAGCAGATTTTCAAATATGACCTTTCCTCGGGGTTTTCTCTTTCGGTCTGTTCTCTTCATTTGTTTCCCTTTCTCTCTGTTGTGCTTGCTGCCTGTTTCTGGCAAGGTCAGAGAAAGCTGAGGCCTGATCCTACCTGATCCGCTGATAGTGAGGCAGAAACCCATGAGCAGGCAAAGCTCAGAGTGTCTGAGGGGCTCATGGTAGAGCCTGCTGCCTCGTAACCCTCAGTCTGCAAGCGCCTCGTGGCAAAGCCAAGGGACACGCAGGGCAGAAGAGGGCTTCTGAAGAACTGTCCTCCCCAAGAGGGGCTAAAATCTGCACTATTCTCTGTTGCTTTGCCTCTTCAAAATATAGCCAGCTGAGGACGTGATGAGCGTTGGTCACAATTGTGCCACGCGTTGTCAGGCCTCGGGTTAGTGAGGATGATCAGCCCCGCTGTCCAAGAGAATGAACAGTCCTCACGGGATGTATGTGCTACCATCAAAAATAATTGTGGTGTTCTTGAACCTTGTTCCAGCTTCCGAAAGAACGATTAGGGAAAGCACATCCCTGGCACACTGGCTTCCCTTTATCACCAAACCTACATATAACACACTAAAAATATTTCTTAAAATTGCTTGACAAATGTGGGTAGCAATGGAAACCTAGCCCATGCTGCAGAATATGTTGGCCAGCTCTGACACCACTAGGGCTTCTAGAAACAGTGACCAGAAGCTCTCCTAGAGCCGTCAGTTCAAATATTGTTTTGTTGAGAGGCTGCTAGAAAACAGCTTCTCTTTTAACCATTCCCACCCTTTTTTCATGGTACTATCTACCTTTAAATTACGATCAACCGTTTAAGGGATAGTAGCTGCTTCTACACCCCAGTGAGGTTCCCTTGCTTAACATCACACACCTTGGGAGGGCAGGTAGGATTAGCTTTTTTTGTGTGTTAGTTTTGGGTAGTGGAGATGAGTGGGAGGTTATATAGCAGTACACAGTTGGGCTTTTTTAAAAATTTGTTTTTATTATTTTTGACCCATGTGGGTTAAGTATTGATTTTTTTCCTTTTTTAATCTTTGCATATGGCTTAAGAAAGTATAGTGGTAAGTTTTGCTGAGAACTCCTCGGATTTGAGATCTTTTTTGCTGTGTGACCCTACAGTTGCATTCTGTGTCCTGTCTTGTTTAGCTATAGTAGTTATTGTGTTGTTTCTCTTTCCTATTGTGTTTTATTCTGTCTTTGCAGGGCTCTATTACTGTAATACTGCTGGCCTAGGCTGTATTTGAAATTAATACAATGTTTTTCTTTATTCATACCCCTAGATGTGGTGGGAGTGCTGGCACAAGCTGCGGTGTTGGGGGCAGTTTTATAAGAGTGTCCAATTCCCTTTTTATAAAGAGAAATAAGTTATCACAAAAGAAGCTTTGTAAGATATTTATTGTCTTTTGTGGTTTTGTGACTGAAACTAGGCAACTGTAGGGGGCTTTGGAGCTCTGAAAAGGCAAGTGTGATGTCTTCTGACACATGCCTGCCTTGGGATGTGTGGTTTCAGTAATGACAAGTCATATTGTGTTAAGTCAAGATCAGGTCAGTGTGCAAGGTGATGTAATGCTGCAATATTGTGGAAGCAGCTAAATAGGGCAGACTGGGGAGGAATAGGAAACAAATTCTCAGTCTTCAGTGCTCATTTTTGCTGTTATTCCATCACTTGCATCAGTTTATAGAAGGGAGTATAGAACTAATATCAGACTATTTTGAAGGCTGACAGTTGGGATTCAGAGGGAGATGGATGTAAGCAGCGTAGAAACTAGCCTTAAACTAAAGAATAGCACCTGAAATATCAGTTCTAAGCAACACCCCAAAATGGTCTTTGTTTTGCTTGTGTCCAGTAAGCTGCTGATCCACTTTAAATGGGAGTAGTCTGTATGAGTCCCTAGAGTCATACTTGAAGCTTGACCCAGCTGTCCCTTAGAATGAAATGCTAGCAGTAGCAAGCTGAACATCTTCTGATCTTGTACCTTAAAGTATTAACATCTAAATGGTCACGACAAACCTTTGAACACTATTTCCCCTGAAGTGGAATAAGAAAAACCTCACGTGATTGTGAGTGAATCGATTTTCTTTTGCTTGGCTTTAGACTCTGCCCTTCGTGTCATGGAGGATTTCTCAGTGTGAAGTGCAGCATAAATGCCCCAGCTGGAGCAAGTCAGTGCCCCAAACTGCTGGTCCTGAACTCTGTTTGGGGAATTAGTTTTGGAGGAACTGCTTTAGTGATACCTTCTAACTGCCTGTCTGCTCCCATCCTTGTCTTTTCTATTTCAACAAAAAGCTAAAACCTGACTGTTATCCCTGATGCCTTTATATGCACAGTATTAAAGGCAAAGATGTGGTTTCTGGGTGCATTTGTCAGAGCACAGTTTCTGTGCTGCCAAATTAGAGAGATTCCTAAAAGGCACATCAGGGGAATATACCCAGAGGGGGCTGGTGCAGAAAAAGCTCTGGCTTTTATGAGAGAGAAATGAGAGGCAGTGAAAATAGACCTTTAGCTTATTGTCCTGGATACTGCTCTTGGTCACCTCATGCTACCTCACTGAAAATATGAGAAAATGAAGTTTTGCAGTGTGCTAGCATGGTTATGAGCACTGTGGGCACCACAGAGGCACTTTGGAGGGAGGATTGCGTGAGGTAAATCTCCCTCTGCTGTGCACCCAGCAAGTCGCAGACAGGCAGCAGGGGTAAATGCCTCTCCCAGGGACTGACCTGTTCAGTGGGCAGTACTCTGCGTATGAGCCCAGAAAGAATCCCCTTGAATCCATGGAATAAAGTATAGAAGAGAGGGTCTTTACTACGCTCTGCTCCCTCCTTTCCTCTCCCTTTCCTCGTGGGGAGGGAGAAACCCTGCCCACATACTGTTAGGATCTCTGGAAGTGCTTCCTTTCCCTGCTGGGATCGTGCAGTGCTGGCTGCCCTAGTAGAGCAGTCACATAATGACTGTACTCAAAAATCTCCTCTTACATTATTCTGGGCAGTAACAAAAATGAAATGGCCCCGAGGCAGCATCCTGCTTCCTAGTCTTAAATGTTACAATAATGTCTTCTGTCCCCCCGCCTTTACCGATGGCATTTTCAGGGCTGCAATTCAGCATGGGGCCTGGTTTGCTTGATCTGGTTTCTCTGGAAGAGCCTGTGCTGCCACCTGGGCTCTGTTGGGATTTTCTAAATGAACAAGTGCTGCTTGGGTTAAGTTGAACAGGATTCATGCTGTCTCTTGGGAGATACACGTGCCAAAATACTGACTGTTCTCTCCTTGTTTCCAGAAAGTAAGTTCATGAAGACTAAAGCAAACTGGGCACAGAGCAGCTGCATCCTTGGCCAGTGCGTGGCTGTTCAGTGCTCTTGGTTTGCTGTTTCTTTTTGGAAAGATGTTTTGGCTAATAGCTGCCTTCCAAAAAGAAGGCTTTAACGGAAGGTTTGCTCAGACGGACGCTTACAGTGGTAGTGGGAAGCAGACCTCAGGATGCAGTATGGGCTGGTAGGGAGAGGGAAGGATCATACATAAACTATCAAGCCTCAGCATGCCAGGCTCTTGCTTCAGTGAAAGCTGAAGACACGCAAAGTAGGAAGGAAGGGCAAAGTAGGTGACAGTAGGTTTGTGTTCAGAATGAGCGAGTACATGAGCCAGTGCTCCATTATCCTACGGTTCTTACCACTTTGTGTTTTTTGTTGCCTTCTCAATGTGTTTTTAACCTCTCCGGCCATAATCATCCATGTGTGCAGATTTTACTAATACACTGCTTACATTAGCGATGGAGGTGGAAGCAGGTGTTCCGTGATGATGCTGTATTTTGTGCTATGGGGTATCCAGGTTTAATGTCTTGCCTTTGTTTCCCCTCTCTTGTTGCAGGCTGAGATGGGCCCATCTGTTTCTCCTGCCATTGCCTTTGACGTTCTGCCACTTAAGCTGCATCCGTTTTCCCAGAGCACTCCAACAGGCTTAGACTGTGTCGGCTGGAAGCAGCGTGTTGCTTTTCCTGGTGTGTATACTGCTCCTGCTTTGAAATGTGCTGTGAGAGAATTAACTGCTGGTGCATTCAGTATGGAAACTGTGTAACAAGCACTCTACCTTATTCCTGTTGCATGCTTTATCCATATGTGAAGGATGTCTGAGTAGAAATCTGCTTTGGAGTCAGTTCTGCCATGTGCATTCTCAGGTACTAGTTTGTCCCCAAGTGAAGGAGCAGGGTGCTGCTCTGAGGCTCTGGTCAGGTGCATCGCTCTGCCCGAGCAAGTTGTGCTTCTCAGAGGCAGCACTGTGGGACCTGGGTGGCAAAGGGAGCTGGTTTGGATTCCATGTAGCTGCAAAACTCTTCCATGTTGGAGAACTGTGTGACATTGGCTGGAAGATGATGACCTTTGCAAAGTGTCTAACTGAATTTAATCCTCTCTGTGTGTTTGCTCAGCAAGGGAAGCCTCATGTTTTGTTTGGGTTTGCTTTGATGTGGTATAGAAGGTCAGGCTGTGTTTTCCACTGCATCACTGAACTGAAAGCCTCACAACTAGATTTATTATAGCATGTTAATCAATAATTTGGGAATAAAGCATGGATGCAACTTGTTAACTACTGCAATGGTTAGGAAAAGCTCACTAATCACAATGATGGTGTGCTTGGTGTAGAAAAATTTTGTTGTGTTATGAGAACTACAGTTTGCCCATGATAATGTCACGTACATCATGCTCTTGAATTTGATTTCTGCAGCCAAAACAGACTCCCTGCCTCGTGTTTGCTAGTGAAGGCTACCATAGGCATGGTAAGATGGCCCTAAGTTGCTAATTAGGCACTAATGCAGCTAAATGAGTCTCTAGGGATAGAAGTTCCCTGTACTTTAAATAAATTGTCTGAATGGAAAAATGCATATTCCTCATGAAAATATCATGTAAAATACATCATGTATTAAGTATGGTGTCTGATTTGCTTCTAAGGACTGACACATTTTCAGAATTAAAATGCAATTCCAACAGATTATTAAATAGTGAAACTCATCTTTGCTAAGTTTTTAAATCTTCCATCTGACACTGCTTGCCCAAACACTGTCACTATCTCTATTATAGTACCTTGGGGTGGGAAAATGGAAAGAGGAGTTACTTAGTGGATAGGAATCTAGCCAGCAAAAGCCATCACAGCTGGGTGCCCAAGCTGCCACTTTTGCTTCTGAAAGTCTCACTGTACCATTAATCAAAAGCTACTGGAATTATTTAGGAGGACATAACCTTGTGCTAATTATTTAAGAGTCTAATGGTCATCCTATTCTGCCAAGCAAATGGCTTTACTTTCTGGCACTTTGCACCATGGAGTACATGGTATGTGGATTTGTTTGTGCATGGAGTCTTGAGACGTCATCTGAAAATAAGAAGCTCCTTGTTGTCATGTCAGGAGCCTTGCCTTTGGACCCTCCGTACTGAGGGCTTTCATTGCTGCCTTCACAAGCGTCTGGTATTTCCCAACACTTAGGACCAGCTGAATTTAAAAGGTCGCTTAGAAATCCCAAATGGAAACCATCGTTGTCAAGTTGTCTGTGCATCTCTGACATCAGCTGGAGTCCCTAAGCAGCACTGTTTCAGAAGTGAATTCCCAGCCACAGCTGATACAAATGTCATGGCAATTCCAGCTGGGGGCATTTAGCTAAGAAGTGTGTGTCTGTGTGTGAATATTGGGGAGCAAGGAGTGAATATAGACTGACCAGTTGGTAGTGCCCTGGGTATTCTGAAGCCATCTAGATTTGGACTGTGAAACCTGAATTGCCTGTGAGATTCACACTGTGTTCCTGGCACGAGTACCACGAGTGTCCCATGCTGTGATCTGGGGCCTCAGGAATTTCTGTGGAGCTGCAGCAAAGCAAACAAGATGCTACAGCAAACCCCTTTTTCTGTCATGCTGATGGAGAGGAGGTGATGAGCAGAGGAAACGCTTCTACCATGGCCATCTCCGAGTGCTGCTCCTGGGCTTTGCGTGAGGCACTGCGGGAGTGTTAGAGCTGTGCAGTGTGTTCCTCCTGTGTATGATTTAGCTGGGAAGAAAAGTTCAGGTTGTGGAGGCAACACTAGAATCTGTTGCGTCAGTGGTAGGTTTGGGAATGTCCTCGAGGCAGCACTAGAGCAGCCATGTGCCCCATCTTTGATGCTTGCACAGCTTCCTTGTGGTACCCGTTGCTTTTGACAGAGCTGCAGGTTACTTAAAACAAATGTAATATAAAAGGATGGATCTATTTAATCTAATTTTAAGGTGCTTAATGATTAAGCTGCAATTACTTGTATTAATGTTTCTATAATTTGTTATAGTCACCAAGGACACTGGATATAAAAGTGCTGTGCAATACATAGCTGTGCCGTACTGGAACTGTAGGTAAAACTGTCATGCCCCAAATCTGCTTGTGGGTCACTTGCTGCAGGAGCCTCTTTGGAGGCTGTGGGCGTAGAGTCCTCTTCAGTTCTCCAGGTACAAATGGTGGTTGCCAGGATCACAGCCCAAGAGTTGTCATTCATGGCCATGTCCTCTTAGCAGAGGACAAGAGCTTAGCTGGGCACAAACTTGCTGTTTCAGGAGGCGAGAGGCTCCCCATTCCCAGCATCACACAAGTGCTAGGACAAGGGCTTGGTTTTTAATGCCATAGCTGCTGTTTTTACTAACACTGGTTTTCTCCAACCGGTCCTGGCCCACCAGCAGCCAGGCGCTGGTTTCTCTGCTGTCAGGTCATGCTTGGAGAAATGGGACAGACTCAAACCTGTCATCTGGGATATTCCAGCAGGAAGGGTCAGGCTCACTGAAGCTTTTTCTCTCCGAAAAAGTCCTGCAGGATGTAGATCCTTTGCCTCTTCAGCCCACAGAGACCACTTGAGAAACTGTTAAGAAGCCAGTAGATGGCTCTAACATCTGTGAAATACAGAGCAGCTGGGTTGGTCCTGGCTCCTCCTTACTCAGGGAAGCTTGAAGGAGTCTTGAGCCTCCTCTGGAAAAGCAAAGCGGTTAATCCACCCCAGAGGTGAGCAAAGAAGTGTGTCCTACTAGTTAGCTTAGAGAGACGTCTGAGCCTCCCCACATTTGGCAGCAGGCAATACTGGGGCATGCGTAGTGCCTTTCCTCCTAAGTTGTCTGGTCACACTCATGGCTTGATTTGTACCTGGCAGAGGGTGTTTGTCCCCTACTTGACAATGCTCGAATATACTGAACTGATGTGAAAGATCAGAGGAAGCTCCTTCCTGAAACAGATGCAGGAGTGCTAGTTCTGGGCAGTCTCTGAAAGTCTTGAGAGCCCGTTTGACCCAGGACTCACCAGGAAAGGAGGGGCAGGCAAATGCTGAAAGCTGTCTGTACGAGAGCTCTATAGGGCTTCCCAGCTGGAAACCTTTCTGTTCTCTTCCTTGCTCCTGCCCCTATTACCTTCTCCCATCGCCCGATTCTACTGTCAGAGAATCTGTGAGATATTTACATAGGGTCTCACGTGATCCTTAATCTTCAGGGTTTAACACCATCTCATAGAGATGCTCTTGATTGTTTTAATGCAAGGCTAGCTTCCTCTCATACAGCTGTACTAGAATAGCTTCTAAACCTCTGTTGTTTAAAAGCACTGAATCTTTTTGGCTGTTTTCCCTGTATCTGTCAGACTGAAACAGGGGAAAATTTTTAACATACCCACCCTCAGATACCTACAGGAGTCACTATGATGCCAGTGTGGATCACGGCAACCAGAGGCGTGAATTCACGTTGACCGACCTATCCCGATGAACGTGCTGGGGGGACTTGGAAATCTTGCATGAGCAATAGGAATAGACAAGCCACATTCTCAAAGTCCATAACTTTGTAGTTAGCCTGGAAAACTGACTAACAAGTGATTCTGAGTTATCCTTTGCCCTCATTGATATAGTGGAAAGTATTTTTCAGAGGCAAAGGGACTGTTTGTTTACTCAACATCATGTGGCCAACTTTCATCCTGCTTTCCCAACTATAGAGGGGCTGTTAAGCCTGCATTTGGCAACAGTTAATGTGAAGATGTTTGACAGCCACTAGAGAAATCTATTCAAGAGGGAAAATATTAGCTTAATAACAGGATTTCATTATGTCTTAAAAGTATTAAAAATAGTCCTCTAGTTCAGCAATATAACGAGCAGAGCTATTTATTCAATTTTTGTTATTTTTAATTCTTGAAGGGATACAGGAATAAAAGTGGCATGTGAGCCCTTAGAAGTGCATCTCTGTAGCGTGAAACATCAATTCTGTCACTGTTAGCCCCCAAAAGTGCTGTGCATTTAACTGCATAGAAGCTAATTGTGTTACTTACTGTACTTTTTCCTCTATTTCTAAAGCAGAGGAAGATTAGACCTGCTATATCACTCTTGATTCTGCTTGATCACAGCCACAAATGTTTCCTGTTGTTGAGGTCTCTAATATGTTCACCAATGATTCTCTCCAACCAAGTGATGGCCAAGTTCCTGAAAATTTGTCATAGCCAATTATTTAGGATCATATGTATTAGCTACCCAGGTGAAAGATTTAGGTGTATAAACATAAGCTTTCCTTGGGGTAAGAAGTTAAAAGAAGATCCTAGGGAATCCCAAACAGCTCTAGCAATCAATGTCCAAAGGTAAGAAACTATAGGAGAGCTTGGCAGAGACCAGGAGACCTAGCAGGTGTGTAGTATGAAGGTGTCCAAGACTGAGACTGGGTTTTTGAGGATTGGCTGCTTAGTGAGGTCCCTAATCTATTTGGAGACGGTTGCTGTGACAGCAGCTTGGACAGTACTTCTCTGCTCTCTCAACAGTCAGTGAATCCCGAAAAAGAAAAAAAGGCAAGCTGCAAGCACTGCGCTGGGATGGAGACACTCTGTCATGAGTTGGGGTGCTTTGATTTAGGACTGTGGTTTCCTTAGCCTTTGTAGTTTTCTAATGCAATGGCATGAGGCCAATGTAGTGCATACCCATAGTAAGTGTCCCTCAGTAGCACCTGCAGCTGGGATCACAGCACTGTTGTCTCTGGCACTGC